TGAAGGGAGGGGATAGAGGAGGTGGCCCCCGATTGGGCAGGGCGGGAAGGAGTGGTCCCACGAGGTCGGGGAAGCGGGGGGTCGTCAGCGGGGTCCATGGTCGGAGCGGAGTGTTCCTGGAGGGAGGGTAGAGCCAAAAACATGTGAGCCGGTGAACAGTGTGACAAGGTAGATGGGTCAGTTTTTAGAGCCATATAAAAGAAGGCCATCACGTACATTAATTCCTTCCATTTAGCTGACCGGTGACAAAAATTTGCCAGCTCCCGCAGAGTGTCAGGGTCAAATGATCCTTGGGAAGGCCAGCAGATGGAGCCTTGTAAATTGTATTTAGGCCAAGTCTTGGAACAAAGCCGTGTTAACTTGGAAAGTTTTATGGAGGGAATGAGGGCGTGAGGTTCGAGAGCTTCCAGAAGCTGCCCGAGCGGGGAAGATGGAGGGATCGGTTTAGAATTTTTAGAGCCCATGGCCGAAGTGTAGCCCAGCCGCAAAAAGGTACCAACAGAGTACCGCGAACACGGCAAGCCAAAAACGCAGGCGTCCGAGCGAATTTGGGGCGTGTTAACTCTTAACTGCCCCGAACCCAGCAACCGTACGGGGAAGAAAAAGCCCCGGCTGGGAGGAGACACTTAAGCTCTTTAGGGCACACGACCCGGAGGTGCCGCAAGGAGCGGCCCGAAGGCGCCGCAAGGAGCGGCCCGGAAGGGGACAGGAAAAAGTTAGAAAAAAAAAGGAAGAAAAGAAAAAAAGAGAAAAAGCCCAGAGCACCGAACTCCAGGTGCGCAGACTGAGCGTTTCGGCCGAGGGCAACAAACCGAGGGAGGCAGGTTAGCAACCTAGCCCTAGCCCGGGGTGCGCAAAGAAAGCCGGCCGGACAGTCTTTGAACGCCCCGGGGGGGAAGGAAGCCAACTCAGGGTAACTCACGGATCAGGATGAAGCGGTGGAAATGGCCGTGGAGAACAGGTGGCGGTGAGCGAAGGCTGTCGGTTCTTTAGACCTTGTCGGTGAAACCCAGAGGCAAAAGCCTCGGGCACCGGACGGAGAAGTCTCCGGGTCGATGCGGCAGCACCAAAATGTTGTTCTTAATTCCTGCGGGTTAGACGAGGGTTACGCGAGGAAAGACACAGACACGCGGCGGTCCCACGTGGTACACTTTTAATGGGAGGGGGAAGGGTAATAACAGGTAAGGGAAAATGTGCAGACACACTAGGAAAAGCGGAAGGAAGGGACAAGAAGAAGGGGCGAACTCGTGACTTGTCCTTGCTTTTAACGGAGGATGCAAAGGCTTCTGGGAAATGTGTCCCGCGCTTGCTTGCGCTGGAGTCCAGAGGGATGTTGGGAGTTGTAGTGTTGCAAGAGAACAACAGTCTGGCCTCAGCTACTGATGGCAAAGTTCCCGAAGCTGGGTTACAGCTTCCTGGGGCCTCCTGGTAGCAGAACTGCCGAAATCTCAGGTGGTAAAGCTCCTGAGTGTGGCTCCTGCCCACCTGTGAGTTGCCTGGCTGCTCCCAGCTGGTCTTTTCCTCCTTCACTGTCACAAGGCTGTCTTCATCTCAGGGATGGAACCTGGCAAAGCTTCATACATGTTGAACTCAAAAGCCGCAGTAAGGTTCCTTTGGCTGAAGTCTATGCTTCAGGAATGTATGGCTAAACAAACATCTACAGTGGAAGAATTGAACAGAAAATTAAAGCCAAAAGAGTTTCAAAGCCCCATGAAACATACTTTTATTTTTGTCTCTACTATGCTATACACATAGGGTTCTATGCATCAAAATCATATCCTGAACATTAAGGGAGCGGAGCCTAGAGGGAAGGGATACACCACGAGGAGAGAAAGACTAACTATAAGGATGACAGCCCAGGCATGGTGGTGCAGGCCTGAAATCCCAGCATGCAGGGGCAGGAGCTAGTGTGCACTACTTAGCAAGCTCAAGGTTAACTTGGGCTAAATATAGAGACTCTGGCTCAGTGTAACTGAAAACAGAACCCCCTAAACGAATACGCAGTAAGAATGCTTGAATATATTATACTAAAGCTAGAGAGGATAATTTGGCACTTGGAGACGCTATCTTGGCAGAAACACAGTATAGTTCAAAGGTCATTTATCGACATGCATTGAATACTTCACTTTATGTACAGGTATGGTAGTATTCTTCCAAAGCTCCCAATCACCAAATGCCTTCTGTAGCGAGATCTGGTCATATATGCCTCCCATAATTCTTGTCTCAGATCTGTGTGTGCCTACGACCTGCTTTGATAAACAGTATGACAGATATGGCACAGTAAAATGAAGTGCCCTGTAGCTCTTAAGATACTGCCATAAGACAACCATACTGTGAGGAAACACGGGCTAGTCTCATAGAGGTCTCTTGGAACCAGTGCTCCTAAGCTAAAGCTTAGGCAGGCCTAGGGCCTAGATCATTTATTAGCTAATACAGTTACATGAGTAACTCCAAGCAGTGGAGCTGGGAAGTCAACCCATAGAACCCCAAGAAACTGTTTACATTACTAGGGTTTTATTATTTTTTAAAAATAGAACCACAGCAGACCTGAAACAGCAAACACACAGCAATTTCTTTATTTTCTCTCATCTCATTTTCTCCTTTTGTGATCTCAATTCAACATATCTGTTTCAAGGACATGGAGATCCCTTACTGGCTCCACCTTGCCTTTGACTCCAGACCCCCACCTTCCAGCGCTAGCAGGATGCCTCCAGCCTCATTCCTGTCTTGCATCATTATTTAATCCCACATTGAAAGGAAACCAGAGCCTGCTCACAGGAGCGTTCATTATCTAGCTCTCCATTTATTGAGGTCAGCACTTCCCATGCATTTAGGCTTAACATCAGGTCCCAGATAACCATTGAGTTCAGATATTATTTCTACAAAATGCCTCTTGCAGCTATTCCTTTTCCCCTGTTCCTTTAGTTACCATTTCCATGCACGATTACAATAATTTTGTTTCTTACTTCTGACTTCCCATCACTAATATTTCCTAAAGCGCAATTTTGTTCGTAATTCAACATGCCTCCTATGTTAGTGTGGAGTACTGTTTGCTTGCACGCAACTCCTAAAATTCTTTGGGTGGGATAAGCTGTACCTTAAATCGATGGCCACTAAGCAATTACTTAATTAATCAGGCCTATATAGTAAAGTCTCTATCAAAACCCAAAATGGCAGGTTTTGTGGAGCTTCCAAGCAGTTGGAGGTTGAGGCCTTCACAGAGGGCATGGGAGCACCACACCCCTTAATCTTATCCTGGGAAACACAAGCACACTTTCTGCTTCATCTGTATTCTTTGCAATGTACTTTAAGCACACCAGTAAGAATGTCTCCTGGGTTCTGTGAGCTCTGGAAGGGGTAGTAAAAACCCTAGTTTCCAGCCAGTGGGTCAGAAGCGTGGGCGAAATAAGCTGGAGCTTTTAAACTGGATGTTGAAAATTACCACCACCAGTACCGCCACCACCAGCACCACCACCAGCAGCACCTTCACCAGCACCACCACCACCGCCGAGTTTCAAACACTTCTTGAACTAATTTCAGACTCCCAGAATGGGATCTTACCTGCGTTTTACTTCCAGTTTACCACCCATCATTTTAAACGCCTAATTATTTTCCAGGTGTAAAGTTAATCTTGGAATACAAGAAGTTAGTTCCTACCTACAAGAAAATCAGTTTTCTCAACTCCGCAGTCACTGCAGGCTGACATTTTTCTGCCCACTTTGTACTGGGCTATCTTTTCAATTTCCCACGGGCATGCGGCCTACTCTGTACTCTGTATGTGCATAGTCTTTCGTGCATAGTCTACGAATGGAGAAGACAGCCACACAGGTGGCAGCACTCCGGGACGTGTGTGCACTGCGCTGTCCAGCTGTTATTACAGACCACTGCACAGTCATCCCTGCCCCAAGCAGACCTCTGCGTGTCTTCAAACGCAGCACGTACCTGGTACTCAACACAGACTGATTGATGGACTTCTTGACGTATGTAACAGATGTACCTGAGGTGCACTAGCCAGGGCTCTAGCGCGCCCAATCTATGCTAAGACTCTGAGCCAGCGCTTGCGCACTGCAGTTAAGTGTGTATTTGCTGCTTAAAACTTTAGGGGACGTGTGCAAGGAGGATGTGCCGAGCTCCTAAAAGGATGCTACCGGAGTCAGAAGGCCAGAGCTCCACAGTCTGGCTGTGCCTGCTGTTAGCCCGAGCGCGCAATGGTGCAGTTCGGCGGGGTCCAACGGGATGAGGGTCAGGGGCACTTCCTGCAGACAGAGCGGCGCACCATGGAGCACTTCCAGTAGACGGAGCTGGAGCTCAGAGGCAACTTCCGGCTGCCGCTGTGCACTTCAGGAGCGAGGCCCCAGTCTCTGGTGCTCCGGTGGAGCCAGGTCGAGGTGTTCCTGCTCGGCACCAGCCTCTCCTGGTGGTTGCGAATCGCTCAATCAGGCGTACATTTATAGCAATCATTTCAACCAAAAACCCGTGGGATGTACCTAAGGGAGAGCTCTTGATTGGCATACTTACTGGGTTCAGTCCCCAGCACCTCGAGAGAAAAATAGCTTCTTCCCTAGACAACTAGCATCTGAAAAGACAAAGCCGAGTTACCTTTACCCTTTGTGCGGAGAGCCAGAAGAGTAAAAAGGCCCAAAGCCGCAAGGTGAGGAAGTACACAGATTTTATATGTGGGACAAAAACCCAGGTAGTGTGAATTCAAGAATCACCATATTTACATTTATTTCCGTTGTGTCTGTTCGAATTGGGGTCAGAGGACAACCTGGAGTTGGTTCTCGGTTTGCTATAAAGGCCCTAGGGATTGAACTCAGGTTGTCAGACTTGGCGGCAAGCGCTGTTACTCAGGGCCCCATTTCCACAGCCTCCCTGAGTTTTTTTTTTTCTTTTTTCCCCCAAAAGGTTCTACATTTTATTACTGGAGAAACCACTCCCAACTTAAACATGATCAAGTCTCCAGATTGAAAATGTTTAACTTCATCTTGTAACACTTATCAAGGATCACAATTCATCATTGTTTTGCCATTCATTGTTGACTCCTTACAGACCCAGCTTCGTTCTCCTCCAGTGTCTTCTCTTGGAGTTGTACCTGATTTTGTTGCCAGTTTTCATCCGAATCCACTGAGGAATAGGACGATTTTGCTTTTGTTTCTTAGCCAGGAATCGCTTGATTCTGAAAGTCTTGTGAGAAGACATGGCGAGAAGGCTAGGCGGGCGCACGATGGCGAAGGAAAGGCAAAGAGCCCTCCCTGAGTTTTATAAATTCTCAGGACACCCCTTGAAACGTTTTGTCCCGAGAGTATATTAGTGCTCGAAGCACTTATGGAAATCACAATGGAATTTTGCACTTCAGTTTTTTTTTCTGCTAAGATAGCATGGAATGTTTTTCCAGCTTTTAAAGTGTTCTGTACGCGAGCTCACGAGCATGCACTCGTGCATGTGGGTGTGGAGGCCAGAAGTCGATGCCAGATGCTCTGCTACTCTTCTCGTTTTTTAGACAAGGTCTCTCACTGATTGTGGAGCTCACTGATGCAGCGTCACCGATGGACCAGCAAGCTCCAGGTATCCCCATGCCCCCAAGGGTATTAAAGCTATGTGCTACTATCTTCACCGTTTTACATAGGTTCCGGCAGTCTGAACTCAGGTTCAAATGCTCGTGTCATAAGCATTTTTCCAACTGAGCCTCCCCCAGGCTTAAGCTTAGTTTATAAACATCCCAACAATGGTATTCCATTGTAAAGGCTACAATGTATCCTCACTAATGTAGGCTTAGGCTGTATTCTAAGTAACGCTATAGGAAACACCATTCAAAATCTTTAAATTCTTTTTAAAGCTTGAACTTTATTCAAAAATTACTATGAAACATTATATAACTCTTTACAGACTGTTAAAGTACTGTCAATATCACTATTTCCATACGAAAGTATTCTCTTTATATTATCAATATTTAAATTATGTTTTTTACATTGTTTTAAATATATCTGTTGGGTAAATATGACACACACAAACTGACAAAAAGTAATGTACATTTAAAAATCTGATAGTTCTCTAACTTTTAAGGGCCATGCTGTTTAGGAGTAAAAGAAAATGTTAACAGAAAAGCCAGAAAAAGATTATCACTTTCACACAACCAGCAGCAAATGATTAATCAACATGGAAAAGAATGTTCAACAGTAGAAATATAAAGCGTTCTAAAACAGGTTCTATTTGCGGAAGGATAGCTAGCTGTCTTCTGAGGGTTAGGAATAGCACAAGTGTGATAAATACCTACATGCAGGTTTTTGTATGGACATGAGTAAAACATGGTGGTGCTGGGGTAACCCAGACCCATGCACATGCTATACAAATGCTCTACCACTGAGATGTATCCTTAGCGCTTGTGTTTTGAGATAGGGTCTTATAAAGTCGTAGCTAAGGCTGGATTTGAACCTGTGGTCCCCTGCTTCAGTATCCTATGCAACACAGTACCAACTTCAAGGTTGTTTTTTGGTTGTATTATATGACTATTATAATAGGGTTGGAGAGATAACTTAGCAGAACATACTGCTCTTCTAGAAGACCAGAGTTCAATTCCCAGCACCCACACTGGGCAGTTCACTGCTTTGAACTCTAGCTCCCAGGGAGATCTAACAACTCTGGCCTACATGGACACCCCTGCCCACCCTCACCCCATGGCACATAATTTAGAAAAGATATTATTTTTAAAAATTACTAGGAAAATATAATACAAACTTCTATCACAAACCTAAGGGGTGGGCATGATGGCACAAACCTTTAATCTCAGGACTAGGGGTGGGGGGGAGTGAGCTGAGGCAGAAGATAAGCGAATTATGAACTTATAAAGATATGACAATCAGTTACTTACCCCTCTCCTATTTGCTCATATTCATTCTGTAGTGGCAAATCATATAACTGCATTTACCTTCTACAAATGGGAGAACTGAGAGGGAGGAGACACCCCATCTTCTATTACACTCTATTTGGATATTAAAGGCAGGATACTATCCAAAGCTTAGACCAAATAACCAAGTAATTCTGAGTATACAGGGTTTCCAATTTAAAAGTTCTCCATCAGAACAAGATAATCCTGTCTATATGATTCCTTACTAAACTGAAATAAATCAGTTTTAAATTTTAACATGGAACTGTTTAGGTATTGATCTTAGTATAGTCCTCAAATTATTTGGGAAAAGTACCCATAATATCAAATTAATTTTGTCTCTAAAGGCAGAAGAAAAAATAGTTTTAGCTTATAAGCAACAGAACTGACTTTGCATGAAGGTTTTCAGTGTTTCAAAATGCCACACCTATCTCTTACACATCTGGTATCCCTACAGAAGATGGTAAGCTGCTTCTAGTCCGCTTGCTCTAAGTAGGAGGGAACAGGCCAAGGACTATTGCTAGGTGCGACTGTGACATCTTCCCTTCATCCTTTAAGCCACGTTTTTAGCTCTGCACAAAACATGACCCTCTCCTGCTTCCTTTGCCAAAGTTTTGACCTAAGACACATATGCTAAGAAAATTTGGGGAAAGCTGCTCAACAAGGGCTTACGGAGCCAGGCAGAACCTCTTTCCCCTCCTTGTCCACACCTGGCATGTGATGGGTGCAACGTCGGCAGTCATATGGCCTTAAAAGCTCATGGCATGGGCTGTGATGATGGAGCCAAAAGGCCAGAGATTCAGACTGGAGTCAAAGAATGAATCATCTTTGCCTGACCCCAGCCTTTTCTATTGGAGAAGGAACGTATCTGTAAACCAAGTGTAGTGAAACCAAGTTGTAATGGCTACAAAGGTCCACTTATCATCCCAGAGTGACATAACTTGAGAAGCCTTTTCTGGGAGAACTATACCCTGTGCTATTCCCAAAGCAATGTTCAACACCCTGGCAACATGTTGGGGAAGACTCCCCAAGCTTATTCTGTATCACCAGCATCAATATCACATAATGATTTTATTTTAATGGTCAAAATTATTTCAAAAATAAATATCATTTAAAATTCGCATCATTGGTATTAAAGGGAAAAAGTCGTTTCCCCAAGGGACATTCATTAAAGTGTTCTTCAAGCAGTTATGCTAATGGCACTGGAGTTGCCACGTAAGAAAGCTGCTGCTTAGATTAATTCAACACAGGTCATTTAAATGATTCAGTCTCTTGCATAGTTTAAAGAAAACTTTGATTTATAGCTTAATTTGATACTGTGGTTAAAACAGGTAGGAAATGTAAAATAACATGAGCTAATCCATGAGGGGTAGGCTCCACAGTTAAACAGAAAAAAAAAATTCTCTTTGCTTTCTGAAGTTGCATTCATTGATGGTTCACTGGTAAAGTGGAGATAAGGACCGTGTGGGTAAACCAGTAGGAAGGTTTAGCTAACCCATGTTAGACTTTCGAGAATGTGTACATATAAGCATTATTACATTTATTTTGGGCTTAGTGTTTTTGACGATTTTCTAATTTGTGTATGTGTGTACCTGCGTGAGCTTCTGTGGACTGTGTACAAGAGCATCCCTAAGAGGGCATCAAATCCCCGGAACTGGAGTTACAGGTGTTGTCAACTGCTGTCTAGTGCTAGGAACTGAAGATGGATGGATTCTCTGCAAGAGCAGTGTGTTAACTGCTGAGTCATCACTCCAGCCCCTGGGGATTATTTTCATGTGTGCGCGCGTGCACGCGCGCATGCACACATGTATGAGTGATGTTTACAGGTGTGGGTATACATGTGCACTTAGATTAACACTGGGAGTCTGCCTTGATCATTCTACCAACTGGTCACCAAATCCTCCCACCTGAATCCAGAGTTTGTTGATATAGCTAGGACAGGCAGTCAGCTTGCTCTAAAGATCCGATTCCCGCCTCCTGAGGGGTGGGCGCACAGGTGGGCCGTATACCCATTTGACTTCTACAGGAATGCTGGAGACCCAGAGCACTGTCCTTACACTTGCATAGCAACTGGCTCAGTCACCGAGCCATCTCCCCGGTCTTCATTGCTATAGTACTTGCAAAAATATCAGCTTGCTCCCATTCTGTATAAATCTGTAGGCACTTGATTTGCTGATTTAAAAGATTTCATTCATACACAAGACTATTAGAGATAATCGTGTACTTATCACATTAAAAGCTCTGTGACATCCTGTAGTGAAGAACTCTTAACTCTGATCCTATAATCTAAAGTAAAATTATTATAGTCTAATTAATTATGGCTTTAAGAAAAACAAAGAAGAAATAAGCAATGGAGGCAAATGGCTTCCAATTTAGCCTCCAAGAATTGATGCCATGCTGACTTTACAAAGCATTGTTTGCTTGTCGATGTGACATTTTGTTATCGCAGACGGAGAGCCTCATTAAGCCGCTTTCTTTTTGTGGTGATGTCTCTGATGCTGAAAGAGACCCGACTTCTGCCTAAAGGCTTCTTTGCATTCATTACACTGGTAGGGTTTTTCTTCATTGTGGATTCTGACATGCTGATCGAGGTGTGAGTTTAGACGGAAGGCTTTCTGACACACTTTACATTTGAAAGGTTTTTCTCCAGTGTGAATCCTGTGATGTCGAATAAGGTCCGAAGTCAAACTGAAGGCTTTCCCACACTCATTACAATGATGTCTTTTGAAGCGACCATGGACTTTCTGATGGTGGCTGAGGAGTAGGGCCTTACTAAAGGTTTTCCCACAGTCCTTGCACTGACAGGGCTCCTCCTGACCATGAATTTTTTGGTGTCGATTAAGATGAGAGCTTCGCCTAAAGTTCTTTCCACAATAGATACACAGATAGGGTTTTTCTCCAGTATGGATTCTGAGATGCTCCAAAAGACCTGCATTCTGGCTAAAGACTTTTCCACACTCTTTGCACTTGAAAGGCTTCTCACCAAGATGGATTTTCTGATGTCGGACGAGGTGTGAACTCCTTTGAAAGATTTTCCCACACACATGGCAGGGGTGACCTTTCTCTCTAGAGAGGTCTTCTGGCTGTTCAGTAGGAACAGAACTCTGATACACTGTAGATTCATAGGACTCTTCTGCATGTGCCCTTTCATGTTCAGTCAGGTCCGAGGGCTGGGCTAGTCCCTCCTCAGTTTCCAACCATTGGCTGCTAGTTTTCTCCTGGGGCATGGCTGGTTGCTTTTCCAAGCTTAAGTCCATACAGAGGGCCTGGATGTGTTCAGATGTTGTGTAACATGATTGTATTCTTCCAAAAGAGTCTGCCACTACAATGAGCTG